CGGACCCGACGCCCCAACGGATCCCTGATCCCGGGACCTCCTGGCAAACGCGGACATCCGTGCCCAAACTGCCTACAGCGCCTACTTCGCGCGTGCGGCTCTGGACGACAAGGCGGTCCGCGCTCAAAAGTGCCCTGTAAATATTCCCCCCTGGCTCCGTGCATGAAGAACCTTGAGGGATGCTGGCCGCATATATGCCATTGGAGTGCGCAATGATTCTAATGACAAGAGGCGAGCGTCCGTCGGTGGCTCTGATCCACAGCGTTGGGGCATCATTGTCATCGTGTGTTTGATTCAGCTGAAGGCATGCCTTCACAGCACCCGAATAGTCCGTCATCTCGGCAATGTGTAGTTGCAGCCATGTAACATATTCGGGTGGTTGATTAAGCATCCGCTTGGCGATCGCTTCGTAATGATGACCGCCCCGGACGCGGGTCAGAACATCCGGAACCGCTACCGATCCATCGCAAGGGCCCCCGGGCCAGCAATCCCTAGTGAAATGCTTGCGGTTAGTACTGCTACGTCTATGGCCTATGCTTTCAGGTGCGAGACCACCACGCAGACATAGCAATTGTTTCGCTTTTGGGTGGCAAATGCAAATAATTTAAACTGTTACTTTCTAACTTTGTCGTTTCCTTTCCCCCCAGAGCCACATGGGCTCCACGTTGCGAAACTCCCTACGTGACCTTTCTGATGATGTTTCGGCGGCAGGCTGCGTCGGCGTCGCAGATGGGCCAGGGCCGTTATCTTTCTGAAGCGTGTCCGCCTTCTTGTTTTCAGGATCCCGTGGGCGTGCCCGCCCCAGCCGGGGCGTCGGTGCCATCCTGCTTAGAGGGCGTAGCCTTTGACCTTGGCATGAGTAGCACGGTCGGCGGCGGCTAGGCCGACGTCGAGGCCGCGGCCGACAACCCGGCAGACGCCGCGGCAGGCGGCCCACCCTAGAACTTTGCCGGAGGCGGTCCACCCTGACTTTGCCCGCGCAGCACCGGTCAGCTTCAGTTCCTTGTTCTGTCGTTCAGGCTAGAAGGACTCCACTTGGAGGCCTTCCGGCTTGGCTGTGGCTGAAGGCCGACTGGCAGTGGTTCTGGTCATTTACCAGTGTCCTGGCTTTGCTCTTCTTTGGTTTTCGGAAGCAAGTCTCTTGTGGCTTTCAGTCTTCTCATCGCTGCAGCATCGAAGGGAGTGCCAGGATTTGGCTGCTCTGCGCCCGTTGCCGAGCTCGAACCTCCGCGGCCTGCAGCAGAAGTCTCGGTGCCCAGTTACCTCGAAAAGCCAAGTCCGCTTGCGATTCGTCAGACCTCTTGGTAACCAGCGGATCGGGCATAGGTGTCGAGCTGCCTTTGAAGCGTTCAGCTATCTGCTTAACCCTGCCTTCGCGCCCAGTAGAGCCACGCTCGTCCTTGTTCTGCGCCCCGTTATTGTCCTCGTCTTCGAACTCGGGGGATTCTTCCAGATCCACTTCTTGATCAGGGCGCAGCTTCTTCTCGGAAGCCGCGTCTTCTTGGGTCTCCTGGGCACGTCCGCCCGTTGACCCGGCAGGTCATGTTGGCACGGGGGGTCGCTCGCCCTGCCCCCCGCCCTCTCCAATCCTATCATCTGCCGCTCGAGTTGATCCGGGAGGGGGCGCGAGGGCTCGGCACTCGAACTACTGGCGATCGGACTTGTCGCGTTCAGGTCGCGGTGGCGGGGAATGCTGGGATCGCAGTCGTCACTGTCGTCGGCGTCGTCAGCGGGATGGTCAGTGGGATGTCGGAACCGCCAATCCGCGCTGTAGACCTTAAGGGTGTGGGCATCTCCCAGATTTCTGGAGCTTCTGTGTCAGTCAATGAACTATGAGATGCAATGGACGTGGGCGTCCTTCCGCCTATGCCATCACCGCGATCGGGGTGCCACGGCGTCGCGCCATGATTAGGGCTGCAAGATAAGCGGCCATTTGGGCACGATGCTGCTGACTGTGAGTTGGGCAGGGGCATATGAGAGACGTCGCGCTTGAATGCCCGCCTTCCGTCACAGTCTCTGCCGCGACGGTCGGATGTTTTGATGACGTGACCTCTGTCGTCACGGATAACGCGATGTTTTAGCGACCGCCAGTGACGAATCTGGGCCCCTGCGTAGGAAATAACTCGTATCAGACTCGTCGTTTCCATGCCATGCGAGGGCCCTGGTCATCGCACGAGAAAAAATGCGCCCCCTACCCGGGGAGGCATGCCCCGTTCCCCAGCCTTTCTCGCTGGAGCTCGCGCCGTGCATGGGCTCGGCTGATTCGGCGTAGCATGTGCCCTTGGAGTGGACAGGGCCGCCCGTGTCCGGGCCGCGTTCTCCAGCTTTACCTAATCCGCCTGCTGCGTGGTGGGCCGTCGAGCCGCGCCCCGGGCGACCGCCCTCTTTCGTCGCCTTATAGGGGCCGCCAGAGCCGACTGGGGCCTTCCCAGTTTTACCCCGTATCATGCATGCGTTGGCGTGGGTCTGGCACCGACCCACCGCGGCCCGCTCCTCCTCCGCGAGTCCGAACGCTGTCGGGGGTGGGGGCGGGCTTAGGCGATTCTGCTAGTGTCCGGGCTGTTCAGTACGTCAGCGCCAATGGCAGGCATGGCCTCCGCGTCCGACATGCAGTCACCCTCGTCGTCAAATTCGGAATTTTCCTGCAAGTGTCCGAACCAGCGCGCGCCGACCCAATCCTCGACGGGGGCATCGTAGAGCTGTCCGATCCCGCCGTGGAGGCACTCCGCGCACCGCTCCACCGACGCGGCGGCGTTGGCGAAGTGAGCCATCAAAGCCAGGACAACCCGGTTCGAGAGGACAGGGGGTGATCAAGCTTGGGGAAATCAACGCACTTCGGATTGGTCCGAGCCAAGGAGTGCGGATCCGCCCCCCCTTCCATCACCCTTGGAACATTGCGCTTGGAGATGTTCAGCAGGTATTGCATGTCATCCTGCTTCCATCCTTACCCATGGGGTTAAGCCTGGGACTCTTGCCCTTACCCGTTGTGTGCCTACGACCTCTGCCTCTACCTTTGCTTCCTACGAGTGGGTCTTCAAAGTCGTAGTCGGTCAATCGAGCCAGGAACGTGGCTATGCCTCTGCTATGCAGTCTGCGGGTGCGTCTACCACCTTTGCCGCGACCCTTCCCCTTGCGGAACACGAGACGACGCGCTGCTCGCCTGGATATCCTAAACGATTGGTTCCTGCGTCGCCTCCACCTTCTACTGGCACGATGACATCCTAAGGGTAAGTATTGCGCAGCTGCATCATCACCGGCTGGCGGGTCTGACCAGTCGCGGTTTTCGGCGCCGCTAGAGGAGGCCGCATCGGCATCCGCACCAGAATCGAATGCATCGTCGTCTCGTTGGCTGGGTGAGGCCCAAAGGGTAGTCGCTCCCGGCGGTGCGCAGCTGGCCGCTGACTGCCAGCCCGTCTTTGAGCCAGACGCCTGTTCGCGGTTGTTGTTGGCACCTTGGCCTAGAATCGTAATGGGCTCAGCGGGCTCTCCGACATTCCAGATGCCGTTCGGCATGGCTGCCGGCGTGTCGCTTATTTCTGCGCGGTAAGTGCCAGCGCTGCGCCCGCTGAAGATGCCCCCGATGTTCCCTGGGGGGCGCTCAGCCAAGTGTCCACGGCTGCGCATTCGCTCCAAGAGTTGGTCGCGCTGTTGTTGAGTACGGGGCATCTGGTGGCTCAGCGGTTGCAGCAGCTGCGCTCCTCGGGAGGAACCAACCCCCAAGGCGCGAAACAAGATCAGAGTGAGGATCTGGACGTTGGGAATGTTAAAGCCTGCTGAGTCTGATTCCTGCCTGGCCATCTCGAATCGGGCCAGTTCTGCGTCGATGCGTTCACCTCTTTCGACCCTGAAGTCGATGAGGCCTCTCCCTGAGGTAAGCTGTCGCTCAGCTCGCCCTACAGGTTTTCAAATTTGGTGCTTAATGAGTGCATGATGTATGTGGCTCCGTCGGTGCGTCTCCCCTGTAGTGCGACACCATAATTAATGATATTTGACGGCACCCTCATGGCTAATGTCCTAGCCGATCCTCCCAGACCGCGCTGTAAGGCTGCGGCCTGTTGACCTGGCGTCATGCTTCTGCTTGTGGCGTTGAACCATGCGTGTACTTCGCGAACAAATTCGCAAAAGGGCACGTTGCCTTCGGGACCCCGGAATGGACCCCGAGTGCATGTTTCATCCCGTCCTCATCCTCGCATGCATTCCACGGCAAAACCTAGGCACACCCAGAGAACTCCAATGATGGCGACCTTAACATGGTGCATAGTAATGTTGTAGCTGATGATGTTGTGTTGCTTATCGTTGGATATTGTCGCGTCCGTAGGGTTGCGACTGGGTGTGTGGTCTGGCGTGGCCGTCAACTTGCGGATCGGTATCGGCGTTTGGGTTGTGCGTGGCGTGTGGCCACGCGGTGGGAAAATTGATGTGTAGAAATGTAGGTTACCAGTTGGTTCGAGCATTGGGAATGTAGTGGCTGCGAGCTGGCGCAGTTGGGTACTCCAATGTGCCGTGGTAAATGGTTATGTACATAACACCTGATGCAAGCCAGCCACATGAAGATGTGGCCAGACCCACCACCAAGTGAAAAGTCGGGGTGCAGGGCTTGACCATGAGGTAATATGCTGAGAACCTTAATTACTCTTAGGATAACGTCGGCGACGTATCGAGGTATCCCTCAACTCATTCTTAAATAACAAGAAAAGCGGGAGGAAAACGAGGAGCCATGGGAATGGGAGATGGGCCATAGAAAAACGTGGCCTTTTGTCCGCTGCTCTGATCCCAGTGGAGGCGCACAAAGTCGCGCGTGCTCCTGGCATATAGGACAGCGATGCCTTGAACCAAGACAGCGTCGGATATAGCGTTCGCTATACAACCTCTCCTAAAACCTCGTTTACAATAGGCAACCAGGGAGAAGGGGTCCACACGGGCACGTACACATAATCGCTCCGTTACACCTATCGAATGCATCCACCCCATGCAGTTTTTTCTAATTCTTCGAGAGAGACCAGCGTCGTCATCTGCTCCAACCACGAAGCTAGGTCGGCGCAGACGCGCGGCACGACCTTCTCCAGGTGGGGCATTCTAGCGGGCCCGCCCTCGTCGCACGTCTGCAGCACCGAGACGGCGTGGGCGGCGCGCCGTAGCACGAACTCGGCCGCCTGCAAGTGCTCCTGGAACCCCGCGTCTGCGCTCTCCTCGGCGTCCCCCTCGTCAGAAGAGGAAGAGGTACTGATACAGCTACACTTAATTCGCTTTCGCCTTTTCGAACCTCTTGTGATGCCCTCGTCGCCACGGTTGGATTCGACTGGAAATTCGGGTCAGAACGCACCCCTGGAAAGGTCCAGAAAGTGGCGGTATCGGTACCTTTTGGTTTCCCCACCTTTGGGGGCCGGTCGTCCATGAGCTCCCGCAGCCTCCGCAGCACCCTGGCTTGCCACTGCAGCTTCGCGCCGGCGCCCTCGTCCTCGCCCTTCGTGCCCCTGGAAAGCAGCTGGGACACAGCCTCGTCGCCGAACTCTTGCCACACCGCGGGCCAGTAGGACGGCGTGACGTCGAGCTCCTTCCCGAGCAGCCCGCTGGCCAGCGCCAGGGTCCTGGCGGCGGCACCCGCGCCCGCAAGGGGCAGGTCCAGGTCGCGCTCGAGGTCGGCGGAGGTGTGCCCCGAGGGCCCGGCCTCCTTGCCTGGGCTCGCGGCGTCGATGCGCATGGCGGGTGCAGGCCCGCAGGCCACGGGCGCAGCCGCAGCGCCTAGGGCCTCCGCCGCGCGGTGGCGGCCGCCGCGGACGGAGGCATGGCGCACTTCGCGCGACCGGCCGACGGCCCTTCGCGCGACCCGCCAGCGGAGGGCCTCGAGCCCAGGCGGCTGCGTCCCCCGCTGGCTGCTCGGCCTGCTCGTCTGCTGCTCGGCGGTGGCGGGTGCGGCCGCTCGCGCCCAGCTCTCGCGGCGGCTCTGGCGGGAGCGCCGCCGTGCAGAGGAGGGGCAGCGAGGGCGGAGGGGCAGACGCAAGGGGAAGCGGCTCGGGCCGCCAGGGCCCTACTCCCAGATCTCCGACGATGCGCTTCATGTTGAAATTCAGATGCGTTTCCTCGACTTCGGCCCCAGGGACCCGACGGGACCAAGATCAATTGATACGGGGCAAGAGACTGCCCCCTTTGGAGGGGGCTCTTGACCTCTGGGGCGGCACGCTGACAAACACACATCTTGGGGGAACGACAGCGATGACCACGACCAAGAATGGAGACAGACTCGTCGGCATCGCAGGCACACGCAAGGATAAACGCTGCGCATGTGGCTCACACTTGTGGCGTCGGTGGACCCGCTGTGCCAAGCAGACGGCCAAGGAATTCGACCTGGACCAGCTCGTCGAAGGCGGCGAGGGTCGCACCGCATCTGATCAGACGGATACACCCTGCGAAATGCTTTAGAAATCATGGGTTAAGAAATTCATAGTCTCAGAACTTGGAGAAAAACCCAACATTTCCATTAAAATCTTAGGATTCACATTGAAACGTTAAGAAAAATCAAGGCTCTGGCCGAAAACTTGAGTTTTCTTAAGCATCGCCCAAGGTGTAGGTCAGAAGTCCGGGGATCACCCCATGCAGGACTCAGGCATGCACATGGAGGATTTGATCTTGCGCGGAGCCCATGCCGAGTAATACCTTGGTGGAAGATAAGGCCAACGATGGGGCATCTGCTTCTTTGTCAAGCCGCACTCTCAAACGTCAGCGCGCACCTAAGACACTCGCCATGGTGTAACAACTCGAAGGCTTGAATGATGTCTTCAAAAATCATCTCGTGCATGACGTACTCGTTGACCTTGATGACCTCTCCGGCCATGTACAGGTCGACAAGCATTGGCACTTGCGGCTTGGACTTCCAGCCTCCGAATGCGGTGCCCTTCCAGGTGCGGCCAGTGACCAGCTGGAAATAGACGAGCGCGTTCCACTACTCGCAAAGTGGCTACTCGCAAATCGCCTGGATCCGCCGCGGGGGCTCTAAGACAACTTACATCGAAGCAGGCACGTGTTTTTCGGGCGTTTGCGAGCAGGCACTTTGCGAGCAGCCTCGTCGCGACCTCCTCGCCAGGCGAGGAGGTTGCCCGGCGAGGCTCGCGCGCTGCCGCGACGCCGACGGCCATGGAAACGCCCCAGCCGCGGGCAGAGGCCCCCTGGGACGACCGCACGACCTGGGCGCAGCCCGTGCAGTCGCACGACGGGTCCACGCCGAACTCTGTCGTTGGCACGATTGAAGGGGCCCTGGGACACACAAACAAGTGGCACGTGTGCCACGGTTCTTGCACAACAAGGAAGGGGGAGGAGGAGGAGGAGGGGGTGGAGGAGGAGGGGGGGAAGAGGGGGCAAGATCTCGCAGAAGAGTGAACAAACAGGGCCGCAAGAAGGGGCTTCTGCGAGCTCGCTCGAGGAGACTCCAAGGGCCGTACCCCTCAAGACGGCTTCAAAGACCTCTAACAGGCTCCCAGGAGGAGTCCAACAAACACCCAAGAAGCCTACAGAGGGTTCCAAGAGGAGGCCTCCAGGGTCCAAGGAGGGCCGGGAGAAATCATTGATCTGACCCAACTGCTGGAGGCTCGCCCCATTCCCTCACTTTCCTACTTTTTGTTCCTCATTTTCCTCCCCCCCCCCCTCCTCCTCCTCCTCCCTCCCTCCTCCTCCCTCCTCCTCCTCCTCCTCCTCCTCCTCCGTCCTCCTCCATTTCCTCTTTCCTCCGCCCTCCTCTTTCCCCCACCTCCTCATACCCCTCCTCTTCCTGATGTTCCTTCTCCTCCTCCCTCGTTTCCCCTCCTCCTCCTCCTCCTCCTCCTCTTCCTTCTCCTCCTCCTCCTCCTCCTCCTCCTCCTCCTCCTCCTCCTCCTCCTCCTCCTCCTCCCTTCGTCCCCTTCCCTCCTCCCTCTGTCCTAATCCCGCCTCCCTTCACTCTCCTCCCTCCTCCCTCCCTCCTCCTTCCTCCCTCCTCAGCCCTCGCATCGCCGAATCGTCGGCGTCAGCGAGGAGCGCGGTGGGGGGGGGAGGGGACGGGCGCAGTGCTAGTTCCGATCCGAAATTCCAACAACCTTCTGGGCACACGTGGTCTAGCGCGGTCATCGTTCCCCATCCCGAACGCCTCTTCCTTTCGGGGAGGTGTACCCTCTCCATGAGTTTATGTTGGTTTGTGCGTGTGGATGGGGGGGGAGGGGGGCGAGCGGGTAGAGCGTCCAAGATGGCCGAAGATGGGTCCGAGATGGCCTCCACGATGGCTGAAGATAGCGCAGGACTGCTTAACTTGCCCCATTATGCATCCGACGAGCCCCCAAGAGGGCGGCAACACGGCTCCAAATGCTCTCGGAACACCCTCGGGGCCCAGCAACGGGGCCTAAATCCCAGGTGGGGAGGGGGGGGGAGGTGGCGTGCGTCGCGACGCGGAACTAAGTGCTCGGAGCGGAAGGGGCACGGGGCGGAGGTCCCACTGGGGCGCTGGGGGCGCGGAGAAGAGGGGGGGGAGGTGGTGTGCGTCGCGACGCGGAAGAAAGTGTTCGGGTCGGAGAGGCACGGGGCGGGGGTCCCACCGGGGCGCTGGGGCGCGGGGGGAAGGGGGGAGGTGGTGTGCGTCGCGACGCGGAACAAGTGGCACGTGTGCCATGGCTCTTGCGCAAAAAAGAAAAGGGGGAGGAGGTGGAGGAGGGGGGGGCAAAATATCGCTCCTCGGGGCCCAGCAACGGGGCCCACATCCCAGGTGGGGATGGGGGTGGAGGTGGCGTGCGTCGCGACACGGAATAACGCGTTCGGGGCGGAGGGGGCACGGGGCGGAGGTCCCACTGGGGCGCTGGGGGCGCGGAGAGGAGGGAGGGGGAGGTGGTGTGCGTCGCGACGCGGAATAAAATGGTCGGGGCGGAGGGGGCACACTGGGGCGCTGGGGGCGCGGGGGAGGGAGGGGGAGGTGGTGTGCGTCGCGACGCGGAATAAAATGGTCGGGGCGGAGGGGGCAGGGCGCACGGGGCGCGGCCCCTGGGGCACTGGGGCGGCCAGGGGGGGGGAGGGGGGAGTGGCGTGCGTCGCGACGCGGAATGAAATTGTCGGGCACGGGGGGGCACGGTGCGGGGCCCCACTGGGGCGCTGAAGGCGCGGGGGCGGTGGGGGAGGCGGTGTGCGTCGCGAAATAAAAAAACGTTCGTGGCGGGGGGGCACTGGGCGCTGGGGGCCCCACCAGCGCTGGGGGCGCGGGGGGGGGGGGGGGGGGGGGCGACGCTGAATGAAGCGTTCGTCGGCGGAGGTGGCCAGCGGGCGGAGCCCGCTGGGGCGCCAAGAACGCGGGAGGGAGGGGGGGGGGGGGGAAGGGGGCTCGGTGCAGAGAGCCACGGGGCGGCGGTCCCACTCTGGCGCTGGGGACGCGGGGGGGAGGGGGAGGTGGAGGGGGGGTGGTGGGAAGGAGGGGGGGAGGGGGCGACGCGGAATAAAACGTTCGTTGGCGGATGGGGGCAGCGGCGGGCACCCGCTGGGGCGCTAAGAACGCGGGAACGCGGGAAGGGGGGGGGGGCAGAGAGGCACGGCGCGGGGGCCCCACTCTGGTGCTGAGGACGCGGGGGGATGGTGCGACGCGGAATAAAGTGGTCGGAGCTCTGGACAACCCGTGCAAGATAATAAAGTTGTCATGGCGGAGGGGGCGCGGGGCTGGGCTCCTACTGAAGCGCTAGGGATCTGGGAAGAGGGGGGAGGTGGTGTGCGTCGCGACGCGGAATAAAATGTTCGTGGCGGCGGAGGGGGCACTGGGCGGGGCTCGGGGCAGGAGACGCGTGGCGGGGACCCCTCTGGGGCGCTGGGGACGCGAGGGGGGGGGAGGGGGGAGGTGGTGTGCGTCGCGACGCGAAATAAAATGCTCGGGGCGGAGGGCGACGGGGCGGGGGTCCCACTGGGTCGCTGGGATGCAGGGCGGGTGGGGGTGGGGTGGGTGGGTGGGTGGGTGGGGTGGTGTATGTGTATGTGTATGTGTATGTGTATGTGTATGTGTATGTGGTATGTGTATGTGTATGTGTATGTGTATGTGTGTATGGTATGTGTATGTGTGTGTGTGTGTGTGTGTGTGTGTGTGTGTGTGTGTGTGTGTGTTGTGTGTGTGTGTGTGTGTGTGGGGGGGGGGGGGGGGGGGGGGCGTCGGGGGCAGTGTGTGCGTCGCGACGCGGAATAGTGGTCGTGGCGGAGGGGGTGGTGCGTCGCGACGCGTCGGGGCGCGACGCGGGGCGGAGGGGGTGTGCGTCGCGACGCGGAATAAATGGTCGGGGCGGAGGGGGCTCGGGGCGGGTGCCGCTGGGGCGCTGGGGATCGGGGGGGAGAGGGGGGCAGGTGGTGTGCGTCGCGACGCGGAATAAAATGGTCGGGGCGGCGGTGGCTGTGGGCGGGGCTCCGGCGGGGGCGCTGGGGATGCAGCAGGGGAAAGGGGGGTGCGTCGCGAAACGGAATGAAGTTGTCGTGGCGGAGGGGGGCGGCGCTGGGGACCTGGGGGGAGGGGAGGGATGTGGCGTGCGTCGCGACGCGGAATAGTGGTCGGGGCGGAGGGGGCACTGGGCGGGGCTCGGGGCAAAGGGCCACGGGGCGGGGGCTCCACTGGGGCCCTGGGGGTGCGAGGGGGGGGGGGGGGGGGTGAGGTGGCGTGCGTCGCGCGCGCGGAATAAAATGGTCGGGGCGGATGGCCACGGGGCGGGAGTCCCACTGGGGCGCTGGGGATGCAGAGGGGGTGGGGTGGGGGGGTCAAGCTAGCCAGCTCGAGCGAGTCAAGCATGGCATGCCCATTCCCACCCGCCCTCCCACAACATAAGAAGCAGTGATGGCACAACTGGGGGCTGCGCGGGCATTTCAATGCGAGTGGGGGATGCCCCAGGAGACCGCGTTGACGTCCGCGCGGGATGCGCGCCGCGTCCCATTCCCGCCACGCATTTCGCATCGTCGGCGACAAGATTATCCCAGCAAAGCAACCTAACAGCGATGTGTAGAAGCATATATACGAGCAGCCTCCTTAAGATTCATATGGGAATCCAATTGTAGAATTCTACATCTGACCCTGCAATCAACGGATGTGGGTCTACACGAGGCCCTGCTAAAAACGGATGAAGTTTCAAACGAGACGCTTGGGAGCTTGGATTTCAAAGGACGCGCGTCCACAGCGCACCCCTTGTGGCGAAGAGGAGATGCCAAGCCTGCCACAGTTGAATGACTGACTAATTATATAAATGTATGTTGAAATGAGCTCATGCATCAACGCATGGAGATCTGATTGAAGCACAGCTATCAACGGATGTGGGGCGAAGGAATAAGAGAAAGGGGACACTGCTATCAACTGGTTTATCTTTGAAAGAGAAACCACTTGGTCCTGATCTCGTTGATCCGTGGGAGGGCTGCTATTGAATCTCAGAGATGTTATAAGTCTGTCCGTCCTTAGATGATAACTCCGCTTAGCCCCGCGAAGAGTGTTATGTACACCGACCACAGACGCATCGAGGATCAAGCTCCCGAGGATGAAGATCTTGGGACGCCAGCTCGATCCTCGACTGATCCCCCGATCCCGAGTTCAAGGTTCTCGAGCCAGGTATTTGAGATCTTGTGATCTCGGATCCACGACGGCTCGAGAATCTGGAAGCCTCGATTGGGGAATCTTTCGAGGATCAAGTAGACGAAGATGAAGATCTTGACACCAACGCTTCATCGTCGATCGCCTCCGCGATCGAGAGTCGAAGGTTCTCGAGCCGAGGATATGAGATTTTGTGTTCTCGGATTCACGATGGCTCGGGAATCTTGGAGCCTCGATCGGAAGACCCATTGAGGCTCGAGAGCCTTGCTGAAGCGTTTGATGACTGCGCTCCTTCGAAGTGTTTTTCAGGCACGGACGAGGAGTACGGGACAGTGCAGCGTGCGAAGCGGAAAACCAGCAAAACCTGCAGGCTGAGAAGCACCGCGGACACTCCCAGGCAGAGAACCAACGCGGCTGCGCAGCTCATTACTGTTGAAATACATATTCCAACGCCGCAGGCTGACAAGCACCGCGGGCATACAGGCTTGGATCCATCACCTCTCCTGCTCGTCTCCCAGGAGATCGCGCCAATCTGGCGGCTGCCAGAAGCGGAAAGCCAGCAAAACCTGCAGGCTGAGAAGCACCACAGACACTCGCAGGCAGAGGACCAACGCGGCCGGGCAGCTCATTATTGTTGGAATTAATATTCCAACACCGCAGGCTGAGAAGCACCGCGGGTATATCGAAGACCAAGGGAGACACTGCCATGAATGATTGTGAGCCCAAACGAGACACTGGTATGAACGGATGGAGTCTCGAAAGATGTGTTTGCAGCGCTCGGCAGAGCAGCAGCGCTGCATGTGGGATGCAAACGGCGGTGCCCTGAATCCCACGATGCACGGAAACGTAGCAGCGCAGGCTGAGAAGCAACACGCGAGTACAGGCTGAGAAGCACCAAGCGAGCGGACTGAGCAGTGGCACCAAGACACTCTGTGTCTCACGGTTCCTCAATCTCGCGCAGGCCAGCCTAGCTCTTCTCGAGCTTTCGCGCAAGCGATCTTCGTCGCGGCAATCTTGTCCGCGAAGAGCTCGGCGAAGGCCTTGG